TGGGCAATCTACTTCCGTAGTGATACTGCCTTGGAAACCTGAGGAGGGGTTGCTATGAGTCAGGTCCAACTCTACAGCACATAACAACAACAACATTAAAAAAAAAAAATTAGGTAGGGTAACACAGAAGTGTCCACAGTACATGGTTAGGTAGAAAAAAGGAAGTTATAGAGAAGTATGTATAGAAAAGTTCAAATTCAATTTGCATAATTAAATCTATGGCTCTGGGTGCGAAGTCTCTGAGTGGTACATATTATTAATGTGTTTGCTTGCTAACCAAAAGGTTAGTGGCTCAAGTCCACCCAGGTGTGCCTTTGAAGAAAGTCCTGGTGTTCTACTTGAAAAAATCAGCCACTGAAAACCCAAGCAGCAGTTTTCCTCTGACAAACATGGGGATACCATGAGTCAGAATAGATCTAATGGCAACAAGTTACAGGTTAATATTTGCATATGCCCAGTTAAAGGTCTGTTGGGATATAGAACAAGCAGTTAACAGTGGTTACCTCATAACTCTACACACTTCACGCATCTTTGCTAGAAGTATGTGTTACCTCTATCATTTTTTTTTTTTTTTTTAAAGCAATACAAAACATTCCCTGTGCATTAGGGCCTAGAAAAGCACACCAGAAAGTCCCCAGAAAACTCCCCCTGGCTGTTCTGAACATTCTGACCCTGCAGAGGAACTCCTGGAGCTTTCCCAGAAGTCTGCAGTACATTTCACATGGGGTGCTGCAAACCAAACCAAAATCACATAGTACTCAAGAGTCACAGATACTATTTCCCAGGCATAATATTCCCAGGGATCAGCCAGAGGAACCACATGGAACACTTTTCCAAGAGGCAAGCTTCCAAAGCTAGTTCTACTATTCATACCCTAGCAGTCCCTAGGCTTATTCCATCCCAGGGGCTAAACCCTCAGGGTAGGTCCCATGCTTCACTTGCACAAGCTTCCATTTTGAGTGGCCTGGGTTCAAGGTTTTTTTGGTTTTGTATTTGTATTAGTTACTTTACCTCATACCCATACTCACTGCCCTAGAGTTGATTCCAACTCACAGGGAAACTGTAGGACAAAGTAGAACTGCCCATTGGATTTCCAAGGCTGAATCTTTATGGAAGCAGACTGCTACATCTTTCTACCATGGAGCAGCTGGTAGCAGACAATCAGTTAACCACTGCGTTATCAGGGTACTTTACCTCATAACTGAACCCATAAGTGTAAGTGACTGAGCCCATAAGTATAAATTTGTTTTAGCTAAGTATGAGGGGGATATACTTTACCACATACAGCAAATTGATACTTGTGAGTTCAGTTAGTCATGGTAAATAAAAAATGCTTTGTGGAGGAAAAGGAAAGTTTGGGCATCCTTTTCTTTATCCACTAACTGGGTTTCATTTGTTCCACTGAAGGGTTAAACAGAAGGACAATGTGGGCCTTTATTCCACCCCAATTCAGTGCTCAGGGCTACAAAGCAACTATTTGAAGGCTGTTTATCCAGCACAGTTAAAACAAACTTCCCAGGCCCTACAGTTCTTCAGTTTTGTTGAAGACAAAAAAAAAAAAAAAGTCACATCTTTTCAAACTAGGGCCATTTCAAGGACTTCTGCTATGTAACACAAAGTTCTAAAGCATTCTGGGTGCATTATCAGCCTTACATTCAATGACTGGATGGGTATTCATACAAATTTTTATGCCTTCCTTCGGAGACTGTTCTAATGAGCTACAGTTTTCTAATCTTGGATGTTGAAGTACTACAAATGAACTCTAAGCATTTCATGGCAATCCAACGCACAAGGCAATGCTGCTCTGTCCTGCGCCATCCTCATGACTGCAAATCAGGCCTTTGTGATCCACAGTGCTTCTCACTGGCTGATTTTCAGAAGTAGGTTTCTTCCTAGTGCATCTCAGTTTTTTCAGCCTCATGGCAACACACAAGCCTCCAGTGATGGGACGGCAATGCACAAGGTACACTGGCAAGAAATCAAACTGTGTCTCCCACATAGAAGGTGAAGAGTCTACCACAGAACCACCAGAGACCTCACGGTGTTGTTGTTGTTAGGTGCCAACAAGCTGGTTCCAACTTGTAGTGACCCTATCTACAACACAATAAAACACTGCCCGGTCCTGTGCCAGCCTCACAATCCTTGCTATACCTGAGCCCATCTTTGCAGCCACTGTGTCAGTCCATCTTGTTGAGGGCCTTCCTCTTCTTTGCTGATTCTCCACTTTGCCAAGCATGATATCCTTCTCCAGGGAATGGTCCCTTCTGACAACACAACCAGAGAAAAGTGAGACAAAGTCTGGCCATTCTCACTTCCAAGAAGCACTCCAGCTGCACTTCTTCCAGGACAGATTTGTTCATTCTTTTGGCAGTCCATGATACTTTCAGTATTCTTCGCCAACACAACTCAAAAACATCAACTCTTCTTTGGTCTTCTTTGTTCAATGTCCAGCTCTTACATCCATATGAAGTGACTGAAAATACCATGGCTTGGGTTAGGCACACCTTAGTCTTCAAGGAGACATCTTCACTCTTCAGCACTTTAAAGAGGTCTTTTGCAGCAGATTTGCCCAGTGCAATACATTGTCTGATGTCTTGACCACTTCATTGGTGTTGATTGTGGAACCAAGTAATATGAAATCACTTCAATCTTTTCTCCATTTATTGTGATGTTTATTGTGATTGGTCCAGTTGTGAGTATTTTCGTTTTCTTTATGTTGAGATGTAATCCATACTGCAGACTAAAGTCTTTGATGTTCATCAATAATTACTATGAGATTAAATACCTTATAGTAGAGTTATAGTAATTCAATTATACAGAACTTTTCTCCTTTTCTTTTCTGCCCCCATGACTCTATTCAACACCAGAAATAAATAAATAAATAAACTCACTACCATGAAGTCAATTCCAACTCAGCAAAAAACCCCACTGGGTTTCCAAGCCTGTAAGTCTTTACAGAAGCAAGCCGACTGCCCCATCTTTCTTCTGTGGAGTGGCTGGTGGGTTCAAACCACCAACCTCTGGTTAGCAGCCAAACCCCTTAACCATTACACCAGAGCTCTTTTACTTAATACCAATGGGGTTTTAAAAAAAGTAACACAAGTGAGAGTTGATGGGGGCAGGGTATGGTGGCGGTCGTGGTCCAAGGGTCAGAATACCTTTAATCCAGTATCTTCACTTTCTCTATTTACATGTTTCTATCAAATATTAACAATCCTGACATTCCTGAGATGGCCTCAGTCACCACTAGTCCAGTCTGTCTGGAAAGGAAACTTTGCCCTTTCTTTGCCCATGTTTCTGGCTCAGCCCTCTCCCCAGGCAGGAAAGCTCTGAGGAGGGGGTTCTTCTCCCTACCCAACGGCCTCACATCCCATGGAGTGGCTGACCGACTGGTCAAAGCTTGGTTGAGGCCTGTACAAGAGCTGGAGGGTAGTGACCCTGTGAAAAAGTGACTCTTGCTGACTCCAGACACTTTTATCTCACAGTAGACAGACTGACCTGCTTTTGCACTGTTTACTCTGACTTTTCACCCTAATATTAAAAAAGAATGTGTTAAGGTATGCATTACATTTTTTTCTTAAATTTGCTGAAAGGTTCCTCCTGAAGAAGATGCCAAGGGTGTACCCATCCCTCCGTCCTTTCAGGCTGTGCTGATTAGAACCTGCTCACTTGCAGACCACACTCATAGTGCTCTCTGCCTCCTCTCCCTTCTTTCTCCCCAAGTGGTGACCTTTGCCTCACCTGACAGGGAGGCAGGTCCTGAACCCACCTTCTTACAGGTAGGTATGGCCACCTCCTACTAACTAAGGCCTCCCCTCTTCTTTTTTTTTAAACTTTTTATTGTGATTTGGATGACAGTTTACAGAGCAAATTGGGTTTCCATTCAACAATTCATACACATTTTCTTTTGTGACACTGATTGCAACCCTCACAATATAACATCCTATTCCCATTTCCTCCCCGTGTTTATCCTTCTTTCCTACTCTTGCTGACTTCTAAGCTCTCTCCTTGGCCAACTGGATTAATTTACTATGGTTGATTGTTCTAAGGAGTGCTTTACTGTTTACCTTATAGAATTGTCTATTGTTTCACTGAAAACTGAGCCATGGAGGTGAGTTCAGTTCCAGGCCTGAAAGGTGTCTAAGGGCCATAGTGTCAGGAGCTCCACCAGTCTCTATCAGACCAGTAAGCCTGGTCACATTTATGATGTTGAATTTTGTTCCACATTTTTCTCCCACTCTATCCAGGACCTCCTATTATGATCCCTTGCAGAGCAGTCGGTAGTGGCAGCCAGGCACCATCTAGTTCTTTTCTCAGGGTTGAATTGGCTGATGAATGTGGTCCATTGGTCCTTTGGACTAATTGTTTTCATGACTTTGATTTTCCTTCCTCTTCTTTGGTCCAGATGGGGAGAGATCAATAGTTGTACCTTAGAAGGCCACTCACAAGCTTTTATGACCCCAGTCACTACTCACCAAAGTATGATGTAGAACAAACATTGTCTTTGTGGACTATGTTATGCCAACTGACCTTGGTGTCCCCCACGACTATGGTTCTGAACCCCCAAATCCCCCTCCCTTTCTTGTCCCTACACTTCAGGGTCATAAATGTGCCTTCATAGCCTATCATGACCAGTGTTTTCTAGATGACCAGTGAGCACTGGTATTTTCCCACTGCCTAGAACCCCAGAGGTAAGATGGCCAATGAGAGGATTCAGAAGCCCCATACCTCAATCCTTGATATGCATTTTAGAAACATTTTCAACGGGGATTAAAATACAGTGGGGTTTAATGTCTAAGGCATTTGACTGCTAACCAGAAGGCTGGTGGTTCAAACCCACCAGCCACTCCTCGGAAGGAAGATTGGGCAATCTACTTCCACAGCCATACCACCTCAGAAACCCAAAGAGGGGTCACTATGAATTGGAAACGACTCGATGGCAGTGAGTCGGTTTTTTTTTTTTTTTTAGGAGAGTTAAGCAATCAGAACACCTTGATCTCTGAGGAAAGTGAAGTGGGGGGCACAAAACGATGAGCTGTTCTGCATCATGTGAGCTGTGAGGAGAGCCGGGAGAAATTTCCATCTGAATTCTAAGTTTGAAAAAAAAACTTTCTTCTTTCCTGTGGTGAACTATGTAACTGGGGGGAAGAGTTCTGCAAAAGTCCTGACCCAGATAGAGCCACTAACTGCACAAGCTCCAGCCCCCTCATTTTAGACTCTTAAGAAACCTCCCAAGGAGCTCTAGTGGCATAGTGGTTAAAGTATTAGGATACTAACCAAAAGGTTGGCAGTTCAAACCCACCAGCCGCTCCAAAGGAGAAAGATGAGGCAATCTGCTTACATAAAGACTGGCTCTCCTCACAGCCCACATGATGCAAAGCAGTGCATCGTTTTGTGCTCCCCACTTCACTTTCCGCAGAGATCAAGGTGTTCTGATTGCTTACCTCTCCTAAAAAACAAAAAAAGCAACTCACTGCCGTCGAGTTATTTCCGACTCACAGCGACTGCTCCTTAAGTTTCTGAGGTGGTATGTCTACAGTAGATTGCCCAATCTTCCTTCCGAGGAGTGGTTGGTAGGTTTGAACCGCCAGCCTTCTGGTTAGCAGTCAAATGCCTTAGACACTAAATCCCACTATGTTTTAGTCCCAGTTGAAAATGTTTCTAAAATGCACGTCAAGGATTGAGGTAGGGGTTCTGAATCCTGTCTCTCATTGGCCATCTTACCTCTGGGGTTCTAGGCCTTGGAAACCCTGTGACAGTTCATAGTGGGTCGCTATGAGTTAGAATCGACTTGATGGCAGTGGGTTTGGTTGGGTTTGGTTTGGTTTGGTTTAAGAAATGTCCCACCCATCAGGGCTGCTTATGCACAGGGAGACAGCTCAGGGCGCAGGAGAGTAGGGAGGGATGGACACAGGGAAGAGGTAACTATGGGGAGGAAGAGGGAGGGGAGCTGTTGCATTGTGGTAAACTGTGGTCAATGTCATGAGACAAAGTGTATGTAAACTGCTGTATGAAAAGTGAATTTGCTCTGTAAATCTTCACCCAAATCACAAGTAAAAAAAAAAGAAAAAGAAATGTCCCACCCATCACAGACAAATTCTGTTGAGTCCAAAAGATGCTGTCAACAATGATCTATTTTCCTAAAATGGAATCCATTGAACACAAACAAGTCTATGCTGGCATTTTGGTTGTGAATAGGAGTAAGTGACAGGGCTGAGTGTACATATCCAGGTTCTAGAGCCAGATGGAGACAGTTTAAATCTCAGCTATGCAACTTACTAAAAATATGGCCTTAGATTATAATAGTATCTACCAGGTATGGTTGCTGAGAGAATTAAAGAAAATGGTTTGCAATCGACTCCTAAACTAAAAAGGCTGACAGTTCAAACTCATCCAGCAGTGTCATGGAAGAAAGGCCTGCAATCTGCTTCCACAAAGACTACAGCCAAGAAAACCTTATGGAGCAGTTCTATTCTGTAACACCCATGAGTTGGAACAGCCTCAAAGGCAAAGGAAAAAATAAAGTATCACTCTTTACATCACTACCTCACAGCTTTCTTGGGAAGATAAATACATAAACTATGGCATTTACATTAAACATATTATTTGGAGTTCCTGGGTGGTATAAACAGTTAAGGTCTTAGCTGCTAAACTAAAGGTTAGAGGTTCAAGTCCACTCAGAGGAGCCTTGGAAGAAAGGCTTGGTATCTACTTTCAAAAACCTCTATGGAGCGCAGTTCTACTCAGACATACATGAGATCACCATGAGTTGGAGGCAACTCAACTGCAACCAGTTAAGTGCACTGATGATACCAACTCATTTAATCCTCACAAAACCTAACAAAGACAGTACTATCATTATTCCCAGAGGAAACTACAGCACAGAGAGACTAAGTAACTTGCCCAAAGTCATGCAGCTAGTAAGTAGTAGGATTTCTCAGGCAATTGTAAGATCTTAGGTGTCATGAAGATCTTAACACAACACCTGAGCCAAGGAGTTGAAAGATCCTCAAGCAACAGGCTTGCCCCTCCTGAAAGTGGAGCAAGGCAGCCTCCCACTCAGCTAAGGGGAAGCCTGGCTAACAGGACCACTGCAGACTGGGTTACAAAGCAGAAGGGGGTGCCCAGCCAACATGTTCACTGTGGAGCAGCCAGCTTCATGCAGTTCCAGCAGGGAAAGAAAAGAAAGCAGGGGAGGCCCAGCCTTTCAAAGTTCCCCCTTTCAAAGTGGAACTGGTTATTAGTGATGCAGGCCACAGCACTTCATCTTCAGACAGCTGCTGGGTTAGTGATGAACCACCAGGGCCTGGACTACAAAGGTCAACCAAAAACCACCACCAAAAAAGGAAAGAAAGGGCAAGAAGCAAAGCTGATCAAACAGTGCAACAGAGGATAAAGGGGGGAAGGTGAGGTGGGCAGAGAATCCTGATGGGATGTGTGGGACCATCAGGTCACTATTTCCTGGAAGCCTGATCTACGTTAAAGTAACCCGCACCTCGATGAGAAGTAGAGAGGCCTCTCCATCGGTCCACAACGTGGGGTCCTGGATTTACCTGAAGCACGGTGGTGTGTTGTACAAGGAGTTGTTTGCAGCTTGCACTTTGTATTCCAGAATAGAGGGGCATTCTCGGAGAGCGAACCCCAGCAGGTCTTCACGAACAATCACCACTGTGACCCCAGCAGAGCCAACATTCTTCTGAGCACCAGCAAAAATCACACCAAACTTAAAGAAAGAAAATGGTGCTGTTTTAGGAGTATTTGATCATTTTTCACAAATTTATTCAAGCTTCCTAACCTTCTTTCCAAAGCACAGTTTCTGCAAGGAAGGGATTGTTTCTATTTAAAGTGCATCCCACGCCCTAAAGGAGCCTCTATTGGAGACAGTGAATCAACACTCAGAGTTCTGGGGCTACAGGTCTGTGTCTGTCGGGCTCCTCTCATCAGTGAGGTGCTGACCCACACCCCTCATTTTAATGACCTTACAGATATTCATATTCCTATTCACTCTCTATATATACTTCCTTTCTACATCATAGGAGCTCTGGTGGCGTAGTGCCTAAGGCACTTGACTGCTAACCAGAAGGCTGGCTGTTCAAACCCACCAGCTACTCCTCAGAAGGAAGGTTGGGCAATCTACTTCTGTAGTGAAACCCAAGGAGGGGTCACTATGACCAGTCTTTAAAGTGGGGCCTCTAGCTGTCCTTGTAGTCCCTGGGTGGCACAAAAAGTTAACTCACTCGGCTACTAAGCCAAAGGTTGGAGATTTGAGTCTACCCAGAACCCATAAAACCCACTGCCGTCGAGTCGAGGCACCTCAAAAGAAAGGCCTGGTGATCTACTTCCAGAAAACCAGCTATTGGAAACCCTATCTATGGAGCACAGTTCTACTCTGACCCACATGGGGTTGTCATAAGTCAGAGGTGACTCAACAGCAACTGGTTTCTTTCAAGTGTCATTAGTAACCAAAAGCAGGCCTATGCATTAACCACCATTATGACACTGACGTTTTAAACTACTCTGGTGGCATAGTGCCTAAGGCATTTGACTGCTAACCAGAAGGCAAATCCACCAGCCACTCCTCAGAAGGAAGGTTGGGCAATCTACTTCCGTAAAGATTTACTGCCTCAGAAACCCAAGGTGGGGTCGCTATGAGTTGGAACTGACTTGATGGCAGTGAGTTTTTTTTTGTTTTGTTTTGTTTTAATATTTGTATAAGGAGCTCTGGTGGCACAGTACCTAAGGCATCTGACTGCTAACCAGAAGGTCGACAGTTCAAACCAACCAGATGTTCCACAAAAGGAAGAATCTTTACTTCCATAAAGATTTGCCACCTTGGAAACCCAATAGAGGTTGCTTTGAGTCAGAATTGACTTGATGGCCGTGGGTTTAGTGTTTGGGGGGTTTTAATATTTGTATAAAAGGACAATCAGAAGATGCAGCAAAGATGGCTCTGCTGAAATCTGTCCAGCATCATGGCAACATGCAAGCCTCCACCAACAGATGGGCGGTCGCTGTACATGAGGTGCACTGGCCAGGAACTCACCTGCGTCTCCAGCATGGAAAGCAAAAGTTCTACCACTGAACCACCGCTGGCCCCTTTGCTTATCTTGTCTAAGCTCTGGGGGCTTATGGGAAGGAGCCCCACTTTGCCTTCTACCCACCTCAACTCCAAAAGCATCAACAAATAGTATATATTATTAAACTTCCTCTCACTAAGCTGAGACAATGGGTTCCCCCAAAGCAGCTCCCATACACTACCTTGGAAACATCCACTGGTTTGGATAGGAAGTTCGAAGACATGTCACAAACCAGCACTGCTCCTTTGACGTCAGGTATAAAACTGAACTCCACTCCGTGCACAGTCTCGTTTGCACAGTAATACACGTAAGAGGCATCTGGGTTGAGGTTCCAGGTGCTGGGATCTGGGATTTCTATCACAGAAGAAAAGTGTGACACTTTCCACATTTACTCCCTTTTCCTCATGTGGAGGGGAATCAACAAGGAAATTGATAGACCTCTGCTAGCAGTATAAGATTAACTGATTGCAAAGCATTTCCCAAGTAGAAACATCCTATAATCTTGCATTAGAATCACACCCAACATGCTAAAAGGATGAGCTATCCTACCCTTTTACTGTTATTGGGGGCAAAGGTCTTTAAGAATGGCAAGAATGACATATTTAGTTTATTTCTTTTTTTTTTTTTTCATTTTCAAGGAGCAGTTATTTTTATTTTTTCTTTAAATTTTATTGATTTGGGTGAAAGTTTACAGACCAAATTCATTTTCCATACAGCAGTTCATACACATTTTGTTTCATGACATTGACTGCAATTCCCCATGGTGTAACAGCTCTCTTGTAGTTACCTCTTCCCTGTGCCCTGTGTCCTTTTTCCCTATGCATTCCTGTCCCCTGAGCTATCTCCCTGTGCAAACACTGCCCTTCTGTTCTCCCACGATTGATTAATCGTTCTAAGGAGTGTTATCTACCTGGTGTAATTGTTTACCCTATACGCCTGTCTACTGTTTGGCTGGAAGCCACAGGAATGAGTTCAATTCCAGACCTCAAGGGTACCTAAGGGCCATAGTCTCAGGTGTCTCACCAGGCTCTATCAAACCAGCAAACTTGGTCGTTTTTTATGACTTTGAGTTTTGTTCCACACTGTTCTCTCATGCCATCTAGTATCTAATATTTGGTTTATTTCTTGTCACTCAGCATCCATCCATCCATTGATGGTCCAGTGGTTTCCTTTGGCGACCAGCCCTCCTACACTCTCAGTCCATATGATTCCAATGGAGCTGATTCTACCCCCAGGCCCAGAGGCAGAATGTGACTCAGGTACATCACAGAGAACGATCCAGAATGGGGCACAGGAGATGTCAGGTTGTTACCGGGAATCCTCCACAAAGGGAATGAAATGGGGAGAATGTAAGGTCATGAGCAGCTGCAGCCAAATGAGAGGGAGAAGTTTTCCTGATTGTGGAGACATCAGGACCAAGAGACATTGTTGGGTCCCTTGATCAAGCCATACCTAAAGCCAACCAGGACTTTTTTAGCTAAATGAGCTTGTAAGTCTTCTTTCTGCACAAACCAGTTAATAGTCTCATCGAGTACAGCCAATTGCTACATCTAACTGGTACCACACTACCTACAGACAGGGGGATGAAAGAATTAAAACACCTGCAAGAGTGATGTGGGAAGGGGTAACATGACAGTGAGAGTCACCCACCAGTCAGCATTCTACCATCCAGCTCACCTCCCATCACTTACTTGTATAGCTTCCAAGTTTGGGGTGGACGATATTTACGGTACCAAACTTCTTGGCTTCTTCTGCAGCCTTAGCCGACCAAGCTCCAGTCACTACGTAGTCAGCACACCTTCCTGCCTTCAGGCCAATCAGGTTTAAGGGGATGGCACTGAACTGGCCAGATCCACCTCCTTGCATAAAAATCACCTTGTAGTTGTCTGGAATGGCTCTGGGCAGAAGCACAGGTAACAGTAAATAGATATATTCACGTGGTCAAAGATTAAGAATGAGTGATTCTCTACCTACGCTTTACCTTGGGTGTATTTAATACAAGACCTATGGTAAATCCCACTTGTAACTCTGTCTTTCCTATCCAATCATTTTTCTATTCATTCCTTTAGGAGTTCTGGTAGCATAGTGCGTAAGACATTTGACTGCTAACCAGAAGGCTGGCAGTTCAAACCCACCAGCCACTCCTCAGAAGGAAGGTTGGGCAATCTACTTAGCAACTAATTATTAAGCAGAGTGGTCAACATCTATGGTTATTTTATGAACAGAATCCATTCCTCCTTTTCCTACTAACACCTGATTTTTCCTTTAGAAAACTATCTCTCTGGTACTCTCTGGTACACATGGTTCACTGTGGCCAACCCCAAAGAGCACATGACCCAAGCCAGCCAATGGTATTTGGCTCTGAGACCTTTGCTTGAACTTTGGGAAAGAATTGTTTCTGTTGAGGTGAAGAATCAACTTGCAGGAGCTAATCGTGCAACCATGGGTTGTCATCTTGGCCTCCATGTGGGAAAAGTATGCCGAAGAATGAAGCTAACACATATGATAAAGAGCTGGGAGACAGAGAAAAGGAACTTCCTGACGTTATCTGAGCGTCTAAATCACTCCTACACTTTTCTTTTACATGAGGTGATGCATTCTCTTTTTGCTAAGGCAGTGAGTTGGGCTTCTGTTACTTGCAATCCAAAGTCCTGAAAGTATCTATGTGCTAGGCAGCACCATGTTATCTACCAACTAGACTTTGGGGCAGGATCTTTGATGTTTCAAGTCGAATCATGCTCTACACTGAGATTAAGAATACAATTCTTAATCATTAAGATGATGGATGGATGGCTACAGGCAGCAGGATAAAGCCACCTCCAGAGAGACTAGACTAGGCCACAGAAACTGAACCCAAGTCCTTGAGAAAAGTCAGAGTGTGGAAATAGGTATGAAGAAGGCAGACAGCCAGGGGCACAGAGATCTAGCACAGAAGGGTAAGTAAAATAATATAATGTAGGGCAATGTAATAAGAGAATAAGTAGTGTGCGAACATCTTGCTTTGAACCGTGCCTGGCCTACAGCCATGCTCAGCAGGATAACAGACTCAAGCAATCAGGTTTTAGGAGTGCCCTAACCATGAGACTCTAGCAGCTGAGAGGATTAGCAGCCCAGAGCAGGGTTCTGGATTTATGTTACTCAGATACAGGGCAATTTAACAAGGCCAGGAATGGGGTGCAAAGAAACCAGAGAGAGCCCTTATTACAGGAGTACAAAGTAGGAAGTTGGTGAGAGGAAGAAAGCACAGGCCAGTAAACTGAACTGGAACCCTGGTCAGAACAGGTTCACAGCCATGGGGGTCAAATGCTACATCTCCTGACCTAAGGTACAAACCACCACTACTATCTTCTATGAAAGCAAGATTATTCTGTGAATTACATGGGATCCAGAAGGTAGACATGCGTAGGAAGCCAAGCAATGATCACTAGTTCTGGACACTCATGCTGCAATGGGCTTCTGTGTTCCTCACATAAATATCACCAAGCCTGCCACATCTGTATCATTTTGTCAAGACCACTTAGAAGATGTTAAGGATTAAATTATTTTTCCAAAACAGATATGCTGATGTCTTAATACCTTGAACCTATGAATGTGACCTTGTTTGGAAATAGGATCTTTGAGGATGTTACCGGGTTAACATAAGGTCATATGTAGTTGGGTATGTCCTAATTCTATGAGTAGGGTCCTTATGAAAGAGAAGATGAACAGAGACAGGGAGACAGAGGAAGGATGCCATGTGACACTGCAGCTACAAGCCAAGGAAAGCCTACAATTACCAGAAGCTAGGACGAAGCGTGAAACAGATTCTCCCTCAAAGCCTCAAAAAGAACGTTGTGTTGTTATATGCCGTTAAGTCAGACCCGACTCATAGTGACCCCTCCTTGGGTTTCCGAGGCAGTATCACCACGGAAATAGATTATCCCATCTTCCTTCCGAGGAGTGGGTGGTGGGTTTGAACCACCAGCCCTCTGGTTAGCAGTCAAGCGCCTTAGGCACTACACTACCAGAGCTCCTTCAAAAAGAATAAACATGCTTAATACCCTTTTCTTGAACTCCCAGTCTCCAGAACTGTGAGAGGATAAATTTCTGTTCTTATAAGCCACTGAGTTTGTGGTATTTTGTTACAGCAGCCTTAGGAAGCTAATGTAAAAGGAAAGTTATGTAATGATCAGTACAATTCCAATTGTGTTAATAAAATAATGCAAGGATAGACTGTAAAATGTTCAATGATTATCCTGCATTGGTGGGACTACAGGGGATTTCAGTTCTCATGGTGTATTTCTGTTTTCTCTGAACGTTCTACAATGAATGTGCATTATTGTGAGCAGAGGGAAAAAAGTAGTTTTTCAAGGTTATCATATTCATATGTGTATGTGGATATATATTTGTAAGTACATAAAACCTCTCCTTTAAACAGCAGTCTAAGATAAAAGTTTCCTCTACGTAGAAAAATCAGCACAGATAACCTAGGTTTGTTCACTCAAACAGTGGTTCTCAGAGTTCAGAACTCTTAAAATTATACAACGGCCTGTTAAAGAGGAAGGTTCCATAGAAATTCTAATTCAGGAGGCCAACTGGAGCCCAGCACTTGAATATTTAACAATTCTCTTCCCTCCAGATGATCTGACAGAGGCCCGTACTTCTAAAACCACTGCACAAAATCATAGTGAATTAATGCTGACAAAGATAATCACTTTTTTGTCATTTAAATCCCTTCTAATCCAGTTTAATTCCACAGTGCCGAAAAATCTTTCCTAGTGTTACAGAGTGAACTTGTCCCCTAGAAAGATATGTTGAAGTCATAACCCCTCAATGTGAGTTATTTCCCCAAAGTCAATGTGACTTTGGGGAAATAAGGTTTTTCTTGGCATATGTTATCAGTTACATTAAATCATTCCAGAGTCAAGTAGGTCTTAATGCTAATCCTTTCTGAGTGGCCTTTTATAAAAGAGAAAGACAGACACAGAAATGGAGTCACACAGGGTGACAACAGCATGTAAAAATCTATCTACAAGCCAAGGAATGCCAGGAAATACCAGGGGCTGCCAGAAGCTGAAAGAGACAAGGAAGGCTCTTTCCCCAGAGCCAACAGAGAGAGCGAGCATAGCCCTGCCAATGCCCTGAATTTGAATGTTCAGCTTCCCGAAACTTTTCCTGGGTGGCACCAGCAGTTAAGTCCTTGACTGCTGTGGAAAGGCTGGCAGTTTGAACCCACTTCAGAAGACAGGCCTGGTACTCTGCTTCTAGAAAGAAACAGCCTTGCAAACTCTATGGGACAGTTCTATCCTGCACACAGGGGGTGACCATGAGTAGAATCAACTCAACAGTAACAGCCTCTAGACTGAGGAGAAAATAAAAGGATTAAGTACTAAGACTGAATCTGGGAGAATCTTAAAAAATACTATGTTTCATTATGGAATCTTCTGGACCAAAAAAAAAAAAAAAAACAAGTACAGAAAGTAACATAACAGATACCTGGGTGTGGAATTATAAAATAAGGGGCACATAATTTGATCCATATCATTTTAACTTACAAGAGTTCCCGCACAAGATTCTCTGTGGTGTTAATAATCTTAGCGAAATCTGATGACCTGTGGCTCATTTCTGTGGAGAGAAAGATAAACAACAAAAAAGTTTCAACTCAAAACCAAACAAGAAGTAACTTTAGAAATAACTACAAAATTTGCAAGCAAAATAATAAAGGGAAATCTCAATGATTTTGCATTCATGTTTTGTTTGAACCCCAAAACTTACTTAGAAGATTCAAATTGATTTTCAAACTGCAAACATCTTAACCTTATAATCACAGCAGAGTAATGTTTCAAATGACAGATTCATTGAATGAGACAGTTACTAATTGATCATTAGGTTTCTGTGACTCCTCTCACCATTTCTTTCTCACAAACAGGAATTCAGGGCAATGCTGCCCTTCAGGACAGCCCAGAATTCCATGTTGTGAGCTCACTTTACAGAAATCTAAGTTCATATCCCAAGCAATAGGAACAAAATTTAACAGAAACACGCATACAGTTAAACGCTACAGTCTCTTAACAATATGCACCTATTGTAACTACCACAAAAAATAAAATAAATTTTAAAACTCAAAGGTCTCTCTTTCCCAATAATATACCAAAACCAAAACCAAACCCACTGCCATTGAGTCAATTCCAAGTCATAGTGATTCTATAGGACACAGTAGAACTGCTCCATAGGGTTTCCAAGGCTGCAAGCTTTATGGCCCTCAACAAGATAGACTGACACACTGGCTCAGCATGGGCTCAGGTATAGCAAGGATTATGAGGCTGGCAAAGGACCGGGCAGTGTACATAGGGTCTATTGTACACAGGGTCTCTATGAGTCAGAGCCGACTCAACGGCACCTAACAACAAGCTTTATGGAAGCAGACTGCCATATATTTCATCTGTGGAGCAGCTGATGGATTCAAACCACCGACCTCTAGGTTAGCATCTGAGAGCTTAACCACTGTGCCATCATGGCTGCTCCCCAATAATACAGGGGAGAGAAAATAACAAAGAAATTATTGATATGCAACATCTTCACCAATAACTTTTCTATACTCTTAAACTTTAATAAGTTAATATTTACAGAAAATAAGCACTTTAAATTGAAATGTGACTATTATAAATATTGGGGACATTGTTATGCAAATGAACACTAGCTTCACTTCAGATGATGTGATGAGCAAGAACCAACTATTAAACAGTAAGCTGAGATATATGAAACTCACATCACCAGCAGCTGTGGGAGGGAAACTGAGCTTGTCTTTAAATGTGAGCTCCATCCAAAATTGTTTCCAATAAAACATGCAACCAAAATGATTAAAGTTTAAAAATATACCTACAAAGGCCTACAGGAAGACCCCTTAGTACTTCTAGACTTGATGCATTTAAATTAGTTCCCTCTGAAACCTGGACATTCACAAGTCAATCTTACCAAGAACACTAATCCCAACTCCTTTGTAGTCTAATAATTCTTTTTGTATCTCCAGCAACACCTAGGAAAAAATAAAAGAAAATAAGATGACTTCCATATACTGTACATAGCTCTCCCTCTGTACAAAGAGGCCTGGAAGGGATCAGAAGGGACTCCCCTTAAAAGGCCTACGGGGTCAAGAGACTGTTCCCACCACTGTCCACACCCAGTGCAACTTACACTCAAGTTGAATGTGAAATCATGCAACACGACTGACACTAAGATACAATTTGTTCCTGAGGCACCAATTAGATATAAAAATTCACTTGACTAGGATTAAAAAAAAAATCAAGTACAGAATTTTTCTCATGACAACTCTTTAACTGTCAAGATAAAACTTTTTAGAGAAACACGATTCTTTACAAAATGTCACCTCTACAAACCTTAAAGTCATTCACTCTCTTAAAGCTAAAGTCCAGAATGCATAAATGTTGGGTTAAAGGAAGAAGAAAGAAAATCACCTAGGTCCAAGTTATCTATCCAAAACCAAACCCACTGCCATCGAGTCAATTTCAACTCATAGTGACCCCACTGGGTTTCACTCTCACTGCCATCGAGTTGGATCCGACTCCGAGGCAGTATCACTATGGAAGTAGATTGCCCCATCTTCTTTCCAAGGAGTGGCTGGTGGGTTTGAACTGCCAGCCTTCTGGTTAGCAGTCAGATGCCTTAGGTTTCAGAGGTGGTAAATCATTGCAGAAGTAGATTCCCCAGTCTTCCTCCTACAAAGTGGCTGGTGGGTTTGAACCGCCAATCTTCTGGTGAGCAGTCAAATGCCTTGGGCATTGCGCCACCAGAGCTCCTTAAATTATCTATACCCAAAAAAAAAAGAAAAGAACCCAAACTCATCGTGGATGAGTCAATTCCTACTCATGGCAATCCCGTATGTTACACAGCAGAACTGCTCCATAGGGTTCTCTTAGCATTACCTATACATTACATTACTCAATTTTTTAATATATTGTGGTCTAAGGTGCCAGACTAGAATGAGGTGGGGGTGAGGAAGTAGAAAGAAGGAAATGGCTGGTTCAAGAAAGATTTACTCCAGGAAAACTGATGTACTAATAACCTTTGGTCCTGGCAACAGAGCCATAGTGGTGATTTTTTTTTTTTTTTTGGTGGAAGATATGTAAGTAACAAAACAGTTGCCATTTCAACATTCTTCACATGTACAGTTCATTGACATTAAATATGTTCATCATGTTGTTCAACCATCACCATTCCCAAATTTTTCCAGAGAGTCATTTCTTATCCCCCATTTGCTAATGAGGAGCTCTGGTAGCATAGTGCCTAAGGCATTTGACTACTAACCAGAAGGCTGGCGGTTCAAACCCACAGCCACTCCTTGGAAGGAAGATGGGGCAATCTACTTCCGTAGTGATACTGCCTCAGAAACCCAAGGAGGGGTTGCTATGAGTCGGGTCCTACTTGATGGCAAATAACAACAACAACAACATTTGCTAATGAAGAATCATAGCAGAGACTCAGAGACTCTGAGAGACTGGCCCAGTGCTGGTAAGAATCCCTGGTGGTACAAATGGTTAACTAGATGGGCTGCTATCCAAAAGGTTGACAGTTTCAGTTCATCCTGGGGCACCTTGGAAGAAAGTTCTGGCCACCTACTTCCAAAAAAAAATCAGCCATTGAAAACTCTGTGGAGCACAGTTCTACTTTGACACATATGAGATCAACATGAACTGGGAGTCAACTCAATGGCCCTTGGGCAGTCCCTTGAACTTGCCTTGACTATGGTTCCTGGTGGCTGAGATGTTTCACAGCCACATTGTACCTTTCAGGGACAATGTGCAGGCGGTAGCCAGTGTGGCAGTCAATCCCAGAGAAGGAAATGAGGAGAAACACAACTAGTTTTTCTCTTGTAAAACATAGCTCACCTCACTAAGCAGAAGATCTTTTTTTTTTTTTTTTTTTTTTACTTCCCAGATCATAGAAAACCTAAGTAACTACAAACTGAGAAGAAAGACACTGATCTTTCAATTTCTATAAAGGAAACCCTTATCAACTAGAGATGCATGCAGGAGTACTTATGAGTGAAATGACAAGATGTCTAGGATTGGCTTTAAAATAATCTGAAGGGTATGGGATGCTGGAAATAAGATTGGCAAAATGTTGTCAGTTGTCAAACCTGCGATGTGGGTCCATCGGATATGGGTTCTTTATATTATTCCCTCTACCTCGGAATGAAGATGGGGCAATCGACTTCCGTAGTGATACTGCCTCGGAAACCCAAGAAGGGGTCGCTATGAGTCGGGGCTGACTCGATGGCACATAACAACAACAACAACACCTTTGTGTAGGGAGCTCTGGTAGCATAGTGCCTAAAGCACTTGACTGCTAACCAGAAGGCTGGCAGTTCAAACCCACCAGCCACTCCTCGGAAGGAAAATGGAGCAATCTACTTTTGTAGTGATACTGCCTCGGAAACCCAAGGAGGGGTCGCTACGAGTCAGGGCCGACTCGACGGCACATAACAACAACAAAACCCTTTGTGTATGTGAGCATTTTTGTAAGAAAAAGAAAGAAAATATCTAACATAAAAATGAACACAAAACAGGTACTATATGCCCTTTTCTAGACACATCTACCAACAGAGATGTCTACAAAGTTTTCCTTAAAAGATACCTGCAAAGGAGGCCATTAAAACATAATCTAAACCAGATTTCAACTTGTCTGAAAAAACAGTATTTTGACAATAAAGAATTAAACAAGAAAAGATTCCCTCAACAATGGTCAAGTTTATGTCACTGATGTGAGAACAGTTGAATGTTTATTAGCAGTGGCTGCTCAAATTCCCACGAAACCTTTCCCTTAGGAAAGGGAAATTTTCTGTGATAGAATCATCTTTATACTTCTGTTTTAAGATTGTATTTTTGTTATAAACAGTATTCCTTGAAAAGGCATCTAAAAAAGTTTAGAATCAAAACCATTACAGTGTTAAAGCTTGACCACAAAAAACAAGCCCCTTTAATGCAATGGTTTGGTTTGGTTTGGTTTTCTTACAAACTGCAGACTATAATCATTTGCAGATCACAACTAATTTTTTAAATGAAATGGAACCAACTAAAGTGCAATAGTATACAAAATATAAAAAACAACATCTGCCACACAAGTAAGAGTGCTTCTGAGGGCAAACATTTGCTTTGTGAAATGAGTAACAAATAAATACTACTACTACTAATGGCAACTGCCATTATAATAAATGCATTAATAAATTACAAAGGCAACAAGTACACTGAAGACTCTGAAGGCAGAGAAGGGAAGTTTCCACAGTTCCAGCAGGGAATCTCACCTAAAATAGACTGTAATAACTAAGAGAAAAACTACCCCTTCTCTGTTACTGAAAACTGCCCCTACCAAAACAACATGTCCTTCCCCCACTAAAATTGTAGGATTTTCTATTCTTACCACAACAGTCCCAAGGAGAGCTCTACTCTGTACAACAGATAATTGTAAAGTATTTGGCTCTGTCCCATGTTGCTACAACACATTATCAGATTTATCTGTGTGTGTGTGTGTGCATACACACACACACACACATATACACACACACACAACAGCAGCAGTAGCAGCTTGTCAATGGGTTCAAACACTTTAGAAACCTTGCCTTCTTCACAGGTGGAGGACGTGGGCGGACCTGAGGGGTACAAAGTGTAAGGAATGGGAAAGAGCCGAACCTCCCTGGGGACTACAAAGTGTAAGGAATGGGAAAGAGCCGAAACCTCCCTGGGGACTGGGAATGGGTTCCCTTGCACTTGCAGAGAGCGTCTGGTAACGGCCCAGGTAGGTATATCTAATCATTCCATTTGTTCCGGAAAAAAAAAGTGCAGAGTACTGAACCAGCAACCCACTGTCCACAAAGGTCTGAATATCTCGAGTATCATTAGGAGGCAAGCAAATAAAAAAGCAGCAGCACCAGCAGCATAATGCATACAGAGGAACGGTAGGTTTTCTTAACCTTTAAGGAAAGGTACGTTCTCCAAGGCACAAGGGATGAAAGGCCGGGCTGCCCTTCCACGTAAATTTTTGAAAAGCTAAGTTTCCAAGTGCTGGCTGAATAAAACCGTCTAAGAGGGGCCGAACTGGAGATTTTGCATAGTGGCTAAGACACTTGCCTGCTAACCAGACGGCTGGCGGTTCAAACCCACCAGCCACTCCTCGGAAGGAAGGTTGGGCAATCCTACTTCGTAGTGATAACTGCCTCGGAAACCCAAGGAGGGGTCGCTATGAGTCGGGGCCGACTCGACGGCACATAACAACAACAACAACAACAGTTAAGGTGATCACCGCGGTATATAAAACCCATGACCTATCCATTCATCACTCATTCACATTGTCTATTCCTGCATGCACTCAGCACGGCCTAGGTCGCAGCGCGGCTTGGTGATGTGAATGCAATGATAAGAGCTTTCTCTTTCCCGTTGCACCCCTGCTCAGATACAGAAGCAGCACCCAACTTTGCAGGTGGGCTGCCAGGGAGCTGACAGCATGCCCCGGCGGGCAGAGTCTTGTACTCCGGGTAAGGCTGTTAGTGCCTGTGGCAATTGAACAAACCTGCCTCGCCGAGCTTCTTTCATGATGTGCATTCTTCCAGAAGTCGGCTCGAGAGATCCCGGACCAGGCGATCACTGGTTGCAAAGCGTTAGCGAAAAAGCAGGGCAGGGAGTGTGGATGTGAGCGCCCCGCACAGGGATGCAAACCCAATGACACGCGTGCTTCCGCCGAATCACACTATCGGCGCGCGTTCGCGGGGACTTACCGAATGCGGCAGTTTGGCGGGCCCGGGCCCGAAGTTGACCACCTGCCTTGGGGTATTCATGGTGTAGCGGCGGGACAGCAAATCAGCAAGGAGGAACGATTGGAGGGCAGTGCGCACAAACTGGCAGCGGCAGCGTCACTGCGGCCGACTCTTACCCAGTGGCTTCTTCCAACGCGGAGCCGGCTTCCCCAATGGCCCGCGCTGTTGCAGGCCCTACGCTGATTGGTTCCCGCAACGAGGCTCGCATTCCCATTGGTCGTTCGATCACCCGAGGCCGGGACGAAGTTGCTCCTCCTCTCTTTTACTTCTGTGCAAGGCGAGCGGGAAATTGCACCATCCAGCCGGCTCGGATCGTGGGCGGCGGTAGAGCCTGCTCTGGCCAGCCCGAATTTGCAGCTCTCAGTCAGCCGGGTTACAATCCTTTAACCCTGACCCGGCCCTTTCTTCCTAGGCTGGAGGAGGAGATGCAAATTAGTCGCCCTCGACAGAGCACCTTTTCCCACCTGTCCTTTATTAGCCCCCTGGGCTGGGTTCTGATGCAGTTGTTCCTGAATCTAACTGGGAAAAAAAAAAAAAAAAATTGCCGGCCAGTAGAAACCGACTCGTAGCGATCCTGTGGGACAGAGCAGAACTGCCCCCAAAGGGTTTCTAAGACTGTAAATCTTTGCATCTTTCACCCGGGGGAGTGGTTGCTGGGTTGAACTACCGACCTTTTGGTCAGCAGCCGCATGCTTTAACCACTATGCCACCAGGAATGTATTCCAGGTCATCAGCCGTTAATTTACCACAACTTAATTTAACAAACTTCTCTGAGCACTCCCAAGGGCGCCAGGTACGCCATTGGAGAGGCAGGGCTCTCAAGAGAACGGATGTGTGCAGTGAATAACAATGGGTCTAGGGGCGAATAAGGGGTTCCTAAAGGATAGGGGCGGCCAAGGACGCTGGAAAGTCTGGATGCCCCAGGCAAGTTCTTTCAAATCGCTGATTCTCAATTTTCTCCTTTGTGAAACCAGCGAGCTGGACTGTAGCCTCGGCTCTCAGGTTACACCGCCGCTGACAAGCTGTGACTTTAGAAACGTGAGGAGACATTAACAAGAACGCGATACCCAGCGGAAATATCAGCCAATGCCAGTAGAGAAGTCCCGAGCCAAGCCGGGCGTGAGGCCAGAGGTGTAGAAAGTTTCCCACACATATGTCCTTCTCTTAAGAACTCGACGGTTACCAGTCAAGGAAAGGTTTATTTGTGGAAGGAAACTTTCTTTGGTGGTTACCAGGGGTGGGAGGGGACAGCCCAAACACTGTAAAAAAAAAAAAAAGCATTGACCTATGTCACTTTAGTTTTGTGTATTTCACTGTACAGAATTATATTTCAATTAAATGTATTTAAAAAAAAAAAATGAAAGACTTCAATAACTCGATGGATACCCACATGGGTTCTGAAGCAAGTCGGGGCCCCTTCCCTGCAAGAAACAAGTTCCTTCGAAGCCCAGAATCCCCGTCCCCCATCACATGTATTTTATATCCTACCCCTCCCCCCATCACATGTATTTTACATTCTACCCCTTACTAGCCCTGTTAATAAACTCACTGCCTCAAGTCTGTCCTGACTCATAGTGACCTCTCCTTGGGTTTCCAAGGCAGTATCTCTATGGAAGAAGATTGCCCTATTTTCCTTCTGAGGAGTAGCTGGTGGGTTCGAACCGCCAGCCTTCTGGTTAGCACTAGCCAGTTTTTGAGTAAAATTGAAGCTGCCGGAATACAGCCCATGTCTATGCTGAGACTTTCTGTAACAGTTCTAGGTATCCCAGTTGAAAAGACTGTGATCTATCAGGGTTTTGACTTTTGTTTGCTTTTGATGGAAAGTGTGCGGAAGGGATGGGGTTGGGAGCCTGGATACTGCTCTGAGTCTGAGAGTCAGAGGGCAAAGCTTCTAGAAGAAGCTAAACTGAACAAGATCACTGCCTTCCTCCACACCTTATGAATCTCAGCCCACAAACTCAGATGTGCAACAGTTATCTCATATTCATTATTTTATATAATGATTTTAGACCTCTATCAGTAACCAGCGGGAGCTCTGGTGGCGTAGTGCCTAAGGCATTTGACTGCTAACCAGAAGGCTGGTGGTTCAAACTCACCAGTTGCTCTGTGGAAGGAAGATGAGGCACTCTACTTCCATAGCAATTAACCACCTTGGAAAACCAATGGGGTCGCTATGAGTTGGGACTGACCTGATGGCAGTGAGTTTAGTTTGGTTCGAATAATCAACTGGGGCAGTAGAAGAGTTCAATTTTATCTTTTCTGGAGTTCCTAACCCCAGCTCGATTCCAGGGATTTAGAGTCCTGGGGTGGGTGGACTTCACCAGATGGAACACACAGGAATCAGATTGACTACATTTGTGGCAAGAGGCAGTGGAAAAGCTCAATATCTTCAGCCAAAACCAGGTCAGGAGCTGATTGTGGAACAGACCATCAACTGCTCATATGCAAGTTCAACTTGAAGTTAAAGACAATTAAAACAAGTCCAAGAGAGCCAAAGTATGATCT